GCCACAGACGTAGCGGCTTGACGCGTCGCGACGCGTCTCGCCACAACCGCGTTCCACTCCACTGAAACACATTCATTCGGCCTAACGACTCATGGACTCCGTACATTTCTGACAACTCCTTCCTTGTTACTAGTATGCTATTTCTCAAAATGTCATTGCGCTCGTTTCTTCAGTTTGCCTTGAACGTCGGGAACTCGCTAATGCGAAGCTTGGTCGACTGTGAGCGCAGAAGCGAGACCGTCAATAACTTCTGCCTCCCATGACAGCATTGTGTCTCGCGAAGTACTCACCCCGAAAGGCCAGAGCGTGATGTTCTTCACAGCGCCGGTGCACGTTGGGTTCGTCGGCGGTGCAGCCGCAAACGTATCACCCGCAACCTCCCAGTCAATCGGGCACGCCGTGGCCGTGATCGTGAAGGGGGGAAGCCCCGAGTCGAAGACCGGGGACGGGAGCTTACCTCCGGACGGCGTGCTGCCGTGGAAGACGAGCGTCGAGGGGTCGATCGCATACTGCCACGTCTCCGTGGTGTCAAACTCGAGATCGACCGCCAAGGGCTGCTGGGCGTTCTGCGCGAGCACCTTCTGGCTGCGGGAGATGTCGAACGCGTAATGCAGCGGCCCCCGGTGAACGGCGACAGAGCCGTGCGGACGCTCCTCTGTCATGTTTGAGCCGGACCGTTTCAGTCTTGGAGCTCGCAGTGCAGCAGAGGACCGAGGGCAAAGTTTACGCACCGATGGTGATGTCGGAGGGTAGGTCCAGCGTGAACTTCGTGGTCCCCGCGTTCACGGAGACCGCATGTAGTCCGTTGGACGGGGACACGGGGCGGGCTGTTCCACCGTTGACCGAAATGGTACCTTGGGATACCCAACTTGGGATCCGCACGTAGTAAGTGAACGCCTTCGCAGCCGTGATCGTCGTAGTGAGCGAATCGCTGAAGGGATAAAGCGTGTCCACTGAGACCGCAACATTGTTCCCTGTGAAACATCACAGTGGCGTAATCAGAGACCACGTTGACCCGCCATGACATTGAGTATGCCCACATGGCAGCTGACGTGATGGTAGGGGTTGGGTTGTGGGAGGAGGCGAGAGCTCACCATTAGCGAGAGTAGTGTTCACGCTGTACGGTCCAAGATAGACATGGACTAGCGACGTTTGGTCAGGAGTTGCCACGAAAGCGTTGCTAATGAACTTCGGCCATCCCTGGGGGTGGTTGACCGTGCAGCACCTGGGAAACTATCCATGAGCAGTGTTCGGCGGTGAGCCATAGATTCATCAGCGGGGCGGATCGGCAAAGCGTTGCAACCGATCTACCGCATTTGTACCTCGACGCAGCGCGCAGCCAAGTAAACGCCAGGACTTACGGGTAGTTCGGTTCGAGGCCGAAAACGTTGGAGTACGGCCTATGTATGGCAAGTTATTGATTGGCCTTTCGTTAGCAGCGACGTGTTTCGAACGACTCACCCGTCCTCAGGGAAAGGGTTCCTATGGCAGCATATGGGGTGGAATAAATAAGCGGGCTTGAGACCCCCCGGAGCAAAGTCGCTGTACGTACGGTGTCATATTTTTAGCTGCGATTTGGTTTTGCTGTTGCAGGTATTGACGCGACCACATATCTGCCAAATTCAACGACTGTTAGTCACGTCCGTTCTTCACCGCAGCGTGGCCGGAGCGAGTTGGCAGGACATGCCTCCGGTAAGTTCTGCGGGCAGTGCGTTGTACGTGATTCGCTCGACCTGACACAAGGGCACTGTCAGCACCAGCATCGACGACAAACTTCCACCCCTGCGCCACGCAGCTTACCCTGTCCGCAAATTTCGGATCTCCTATGACTTGGTACAAGTAAGAACCACTAGAACCGCGTGTCAATGTGGGACATGCTCCTTCCGGTCATGGACGCTTGCAAACACGTACGAGAACATGGTTTCCTGCAACGTGGATCCGTCAGCGAAGCCAACGACGCGCCTGATCGACACTTACCACCACTAGGCACAGTTCAGTTCTGCAGGCGGTGACGTCACAACACAAGGTGAGATGATACGTAAAGGACGAAGAATAGTCAGTTGACGGACGTACCCGCGGACAGCTTCGAGCCCTGCCAGGTACTCGTCAGCGGCGTAGATGCCAGACGGCCGGCCGTGGTACTGGAACAGGAGGTCCCAGCCCTTGCTTGCAACATCAAGGTCTTTGTAGGGCTGTGGTGAGTCCATAGACCACTAAGATTTCAGAGGACACGAACCCGATTGATTATGCGTGAAGCGGTACGTAGAAGGGAGAGCCTTAAGACCTTCCGCCATGTTGACGCCATGCCAAGTCAGCTCCGGGAAAGGGTTTGTGAGATTTTCGACGGCGATCTTTGGGAAGTACTATGGGAGAGGTGAACTCTCTGGTCTTCGAGGAGTCCCAACATACAGACCTCTTCCTTGAAGACGTCTTCCCATGGATCTCCCGTGTACTTGAGCTGTTTCATTGTGTCGATAAGGAGATCTTCCTTTCCCTCAGGATGAAAGTCGTAAAGCCTTTGGCACCTCCTGCATCAGCGTGGCAGGTTTAGACGTTTGGATAGAAAGAGCAGACCACTGCAGAGTCATGACGAAGTCCTCCCAGCGTGTGCGGGCCCAGTCCTCGAGGCCCTCGCCATTGTGCAGCATTGTGTTGGCGAGGGAGACGAACTTGTGGAGGGCGCTCACAACACGATCCGTCAATGCGGGATTAGCTTCGACCATTTGGATGGCCCCAAAGAAGAATGGGTATCGACCCCACAGGTAGCGAGGCTTGGTGGTGTTGACTTCGGGTCCTAGCCAGCCAGTGGAATCTTGGTGGTCAAGGACGTAGTCCAGGAATTGCTGGACCTGCGACTGTATCGTCGAGTCATTAAGGAGAACGCCATTTGGAACCATGCCGTTCTGTGCGACAGAAAGTCAAATATACGGTAACAGCCTAGGAGAGCACGCACTTACAAACCAGTAGCTTCCAGCTATCAACAGTTGGATATCAATTGCCGTAGACATTATATTGGCAACAGCTCACCTTCTTCTAGATAAGAATAATAGGATGTCCCTCCGATCCAGTCACTGTCTGAAACACTGTGCGCACGTGGACGATCAGTCTAGGATGTATCGAAGTAGTTCTTGACGCACTAGTCATAGAAGTCATGTTCGTGACCAGCTAAACCATTGGTTTGCACGACGAGCTATCCTTCATAGTCAGTAGAAAGTGAGCCGGGACGTGACTGGGTATACTAACTTGGTCATGAAGCCAACCCGCAGGCTTGACCGTACCCAGCGGGAGGTTCAAGAATGCCTTTGGCGCAACTAGACGTAGAACAAGTCAGTAAGCCCTCACGACAGATGGATGGCAGCGCTCACGTCCTGTGGGGCTTCCGCCCTTCACCACCGAACGGGTTGCGATAGAGGCAAAGAAAGAGATCAGGACACCCCACAACATTGCGAATGGTCCGTTGGCCACTCCATCGGCTTGCGGTAGCCGCATTTTATATAGATATTCCTTGCTTCTCGGTCGTTCGCGGCTCCGAGCAGTGACGACGAGGACCTACCGCGTGATACGATAGACGGGATTCCTAGAAGCCTGAAAGTTCAAATGACTTCGTTGAATGGTCACGTATCAGAGGAAGCCTCGAACAGGAGATGCAGCTGATACCGAAGTGGAGCAGTATAACCTGCTATTCCGCAATGCTGCGCTCTCGCTGTTCGACTTGTAGAGTGTATGTGCTACCTTCGTTGAGACAGTAAATGCAAGACGAGGTATTGTTGTTGGATGGGTCGCGAGGACTGCTAGTAGAGACAAAGATGAGTGAATGACCAAGCCACGAGAAGCCGAAGAGCAGATCGGCGTTGATGCATCAAGCCCTCCTACTTCTTCTAAAGGCTTTCCGCAGGGCCGACAGACAACGGGCCGTTCGCACTAGCACGACGGTCCGTGCCCACAAATTTCGAACAGTAAAAGGGTGCGATTGCTACTCCCACCTATCTGGGGGTCGTATCATACTCGGAGTAGTACACCGATAAGCCTCGACTGAGCGGCATATGAGTTCAGCAGACTCATCGCGACAGCTCGGGTTTGGAATGCTGCAGCACATCCTACCGCCCCTGCTGCAGTTACGAGTCGTTGGATTCAGAGAATTACATCGTATGCGGGGACGAGAGGAGTCGGTCGGTCCGCTGGATCGGCGCATTGAATGTTGCATATCTAGCCCTTCGGCGCTCATGTCCTCCGAGTCCGATGAGCTGCACGCGCCTCATATTCCCTCATCCTCGCTCCCACCACATCGCCCTGAGCATGCATCTCGTCATATTCAGTATACCGGCCGAGCGGGTATACCACACGACACATCTTCCAGGAAGCGGGTGATCCACATGGATGCACGCTAACGTGATCTTATCAGTTAGCCTTCTCAGTCGGCCGCCTGACTTGTTACTAAGATGGCATACATCCTCTTGCGAGTCTTCGCAGGTCTTTCTGCCCCATCTCGGCTCATGGATAGCTACGACAGAGTCTCAGTCTTGGCAGCATCCTGGATCAGACTTTGCGGAGTCCGCATCACAGTAAGTAGCGAGCGGTACTGCCTTTGACAATGCGCTGTAACGTTAACGATACATGGAAGGTGCAGATTCGCTGTTGAATGCTTTGCTTGCTGCTACATATACCGAGTCGATCCACGTTGTCGCCAAGATTTCACATTCAACTCACGAATTCCCTATCTGGATGTTGCGTTCGCATGCACGCGTGAACCCAATGCCGCTCTGCGACAGTTGTCAAACGACCAAGGCTGAACAATCAACTCTGATGCCGACGTCTTCCATGTCGACGTTGCTCGCGGTTCGACGATGGAATATGAATCCGCGCGGCGCTGCGAAGCACATCATGAGGAAATCTGGAAGCGCAATCGCTCTCCGTGTCGCCAGAGCGTCGGAGATCGTATATAAGGGCTTCGCGACCATTGTGTCTGCAACGATCCGTCGCCATGTTCTGGTCGTCCGCTCTCATCCTCGGGCTCGCGCACCTCGCTGCCTCCAAGCCTCTCGTCTCCAAGAGGTGGGATGACTTTGGCGTGAAGCACGCTTGGGTCGATGTCCCTCGTGGATGGGAGCTCCACGGTCCCGCTCCTGCGGACTACACTTTTGACATGCGCATCGGTCTCAAGCAGGACAGGTTCGACGACCTTGTCGCTGCTCTTTACGAGGTCAGCGACCCCGCCCATGAGCGGTAAGCCATTGCGTCGTTGTGCTACTACATGCAAGCACTGACGTGCACCTGCATAGGTATGGTCAGCACCTCTCTAAAGAGGAGGTGGCAGCTCTCATTGCCCCACATCCCGACTCCGTCGACCTTGTAGAGTCCTGGCTACACGCCTACGGCCTCAGCGCTGCCAACTCTGAGCGGTCGCCGTCTGGAGACTGGATCACCATCCGCGTCTCCGTAGCCCAGGCTGAGAAGATGCTGGGCACGAAGTATAACGTCTTCCGTCACAGCAAGAGCGAAGACTACGTGATCCGTACCATGAACTACAGCTTGCCTAACGTCCTTCATGAGCACGTCGCAGTCGTCGCACCGACGACCTACTTCGGTACAATGAAGAGCATGAAGGCGACGAGCTTCGTTAAGGAGAACGCGCCGACCATCGAGAGCGATGTTGACGTCGCCCACCTTCTTACTGGCCCCAGTTCGCTCGCAACTGTTCCATCGAGCTGCTCGAGCACGATCACTCCCGCGTGTCTCCGCGCGCTCTACAACACCTCGAGTTACGTTCCCGCCGCCACTGACAAGAACATCCTCGGTGTTGCGGGCTATTTGGACGAGTTTGCGAACCGTGCGGACTTGCAGGTATGTGCGGCTTCCATCTGTTCATGCGGGTCCTGGTTATTGACGTCTCTACGTGTTCTATCGCGGATCGTTCGATAGACATTCTTCAAACGCTTCCGGACTGATGCTGTCAATTCATCATTCACCACTGTCCAAGTTAACGGTGGCGGCGATGATCAAAGTGATCCTGGTGTTGAGGTGAGTGGTGTATGAAATGGTCTTGTGGCGAGGTCCCATTCTGATACACTCGATCCGTCAGGCCAATCTCGATATCCAGTACACCGAGGGTATCTCGTTCCCCACCCCCAACATCTACTACAGCACTGGTGGCTCTCCGCCCTTCAACTCCGACGAAAATACTCCTACGAACACCAACGAGCCCTACCTTGACTGGCTGAACTTCATCCTTGCACAGGACACGATCCCGCAGACGGTGGGCCTATCAACTCAACCTCGAGTACTAGGTGCTAACGATTGGTCGACCGAATAGTTCACCACAAGCTATGGCGACGACGAGCAGACCGTTCCTCTTGATTACGCCACTAGCGTGTGCAATCTTTTCGCACAGTTGGGTGCCCGTGGTAGCAGCATCCTGTTCAGCAGCGGAGACGACGGCGTCGGCGGCGGCGACTGCCTTTCCAACGACGGCACGAACACTACGAAGTTCCTTCCAAACTTCCCTGGTACGTCTTTTACGAGATGGCCTCGCAACGTTCAAAGGGCTCAACAGGTTGTCCTAAAATTGCTGCAGCCTCCTGTCCATTCGTAACGACCGTCGGTGGCACCATTCGTATCAACCCGGAGGTTGCCGTTAGCTTCTCTGGTGGAGGCTTCTCAAACTACTTTGCGCGCCCCGAGTTCGTAATCCCTTCACAATTTTTGGCTAAGTTCGCGGTCTAGGCTGCCAAACGCTGATTGTCGATCACGTATATGCAGTTACCAGAGCACCGCTGTCTCGACGTTCCTCACCAAACTCGGTAGCACGAACAAGGGCCTGTTCAAGTGCGTTCAAGAGGCTCAGATCGGATATGTGTGAACCGACTAACGTCAATACTCTCTTCCTGCGTTTTTGTTTCGTTCAGCACAACCGGCCGTGCGTACCCTGACGTTGCCGCCCAAGGGGAAAACTTCCAGGTCGTCATTGGCGGGCGCGTCGAGTCTGTTGCTGGAACAAGCGCTAGCTCCCCGGTTAGTTCACTCCAAACCAAAAAAATTGCTAGATCGGACCCTGTCTCGCTGTTATCTCACTGACAGCTTACCGCATGACAGACCTTCGCCGCGGTGATATCTCTCCTGAACGATTTCCGTCTCTCGCAGGGAAAGTCGCCTTTGGGTTTCCTCAACCCGCTCATTTACTCGACGGGCGTTCCTGGCTTCAACGACATCACCTCCGGCACGAATCCCGGCTGCGGGACCAACGGCTTTACGGCGGGCGCCGGGTGGGACCCGGTGAGTGTGCCGTCCACGGAGGACCCTTGCTCGCGTGGTAGGTCTTGTACTGACCGCGCCTGTTCCTTCCGTCTGCTTTCCAGGTCACCGGCTTGGGCACGCCAGACTTCGGCAAGCTGCAGGCTCTTATCGGGTGAGCGTCTTGGGAAGCTGGAAGGTGTAAGAGGAACGACGGATGGAAGGAAAGACGCGTGCAGCGGGATGTAGATCAAAGATTCCGCCGCGGATTGTGTCATTCCAGAGCGTCAATGAGAAGCAATGTATATTGCGGTCTGCCACGACGAAGGCTCCCCGTGTGGATCGCGGTGGCACTCGCACACTGCTGTGTGGTCTTTCCACATGGCCCCCGTGAGGGCACGTTGTTGCACCACGCGTCCAACTATGCTTACACGCGCACCTACATGTCTACATGGTACAAACAAGGTTCATAACCCCAAAGCATTTTATGATCGGCTGGGCCCCACGACGTACTGAACACGTATGCCGCGCAGATCCCGGAGAGATCACACGAGCACGACAAAGTTATTCCCGCAGACCGGGCAGCGCCGCGTCGCATCGAGGAGATCTCTCACAACCCTACTGTTGCGCGCTGAGTTGGGAAGCACGCTGGATGACCCTCCGACCCCTCCGACAGCGCTTGAGCCGGTATCCTGCGGTGAGGGCGCCGTTTTGTCTCGGCCTCGGTCTCCGTGACTGTCCCCGTCCGTCGGCTCGGCCGCGTGCATGTTTACGGCAGGGGAAGCAAGTGTGAGTGAAGGTTGAAACGCTTTGCGGCTGCAGCCAATGCATGTCCGTACTGTCGGTGTGGCGAGCAGGTATGAGGTAATGCAACAGCGCGCTGTGGCAAGGGGCGGGATTGTGAGCAACGCGATGATGGCGCGAAGAGAGCGAAGGCGCAGTCAATGCATGTAGACGCGGGTGTAAGACGCACCCCACACGTGGCCGTTTGCGCATATGGCGCTTTCCGGATCCGCAGGCGAGAGCGGGATCGGGACATTGCATGCTGGGCATGGCTCGACCAGGCTGTCAAGGGACGAGAGGGTTCGCGCGCCGGTCCCGGTACTGGCGTCGGTGCTTAGCTCAGGGTGCGGCGTAGACCGTAACAGTTGCTTCCGAAGCTCTTCGGCTTCCTTAGCCAACGTCGGGGGCGCTCCTGCGGTGGCGGCCTGATGAATGGTGCGATGGGCAAATGATATGTCATCCTCTGTACGACTGTGGTCAGCGCCTGCATCGATGACTAACTGTACGAGAGGGACAGGCTTACGATTGAGTAGCTCACTTAAGGCCGAGATGTGCCGTATCAACGTGGCCTGGACATGGTTTCGGACACCCGCCAGAAATAGACTGGCAGCCTTGGCAAATTCTTGCTGCACGTCGGGCATCTCTGAGTGGTTCTGCAACGGCATCGTGGTACGGTGACGTGATACGGTGACACAGTGGATTAAACTCTCGGCGGCGTCACCGTCAACCCGACTCACCTGACAGAAGACCGCTACGGCATATCGCATGCGCAGGGATTGAGTGCTGTCCCATCCGAAGAGATGCGTAGTCAAGCTTTCTCGAACTTCGCGGGATACATCCGATGTCCAATCTCCGGCATATGGTGGAATGTGGAAATCCGCGAGGGCGCCGCTCAACGGGATTTGATACAGAACCTTCAGTATACCCGAGTGTATGCGTGGGATCCTGACTGACTCCCGGAGCTGCCAAAGGATTGCACGAAGAGCAGACAAGGGCGTCTCCCCGCTACCTTTCGCAAGCTGTCAGTCACTATCTCCATGATAGAAGCAGTGTATGAACATACTATTTGAGGGATGACCGACGCGCTCCGCCAGGTCAGAGATGACTCCATCGCCAAAACTTTCCTCCCACAGTTGTGCCACAACGAATGTGCTGATATGCTTTGCGTCGTGCTTGTAGCTGAAATCTGTCGGACGTGATGCTCTATAGGACGAGTTCTCCAATTGCACCTTCGAGTGACGCCGGAGTAACGTACTCGTATATCCACAAAAATGTTGCACGGCCGTCGAAAGTAGTCATCCCGTTAGTCCTGTCCACGTCTTTGAATGAGGCCTTCTCCGGTTCAGCCCTAACGAAAATAGCGCGGGAGGCTGCGGACAGCGTTTCAGACGATACGTTTGCCGATGACGATTGGTCCAACGATGGGTCGACGAAGAGATTTCGAATGGCATGAAAAGATCCATCCGACAGAGAGACCACACACACGTCATGAGTTGGTATGTAGGAGATGCCAGAACATGGACTAAGCGCCGTCGACCCCACGGAGCGCTTCTGCGTTCGGAGCAGCAGCGTGCGCGAGCCTGACCATGCTGCTTTTCCAAAGGATGGAGACCATAGGAACAGAACGCCGGCCTTGTGGTATATTAGAATCGGCTATATAAAGTTGAGTTCAGTCTAGTCGAATTCCAGAGAAGCGCAGTGCGGCGAAGGGAAGCTCACGCTGCGCTCAGCGACATTCGCCCACCTCATGGCGGTGATAGCTCTTCTGTCAGATTCGCATGCCTCCCCGTCATAAGGCTCAACACTCAAATGGAGTTGGTGGGTTTGCACAAATTGTGTGATACCAGGCTTAGCAGTGAGTGTCTGTCGGGCAGTCAGGATGGTGACCGACCCATCAGACGTGCCGCACGCCAGCATCGCCTCGCCTGCAACCATAGTAGAATTGTATAAGCTGTGAAATTGTAGCGTACTTACAGGTACCATCTTGGATGAGACTCCACGAAGACCATGCGAGCTGCGTCACCCATCTATCAGAGACCGAAACTTCCTCCACAACGACCATACGTCGGTTGGTTCTGTTGTATCTGGGCATGCGTCGTGGGCGGCGGACCATCGAGAGAAGGAAATGGCGGACGAACCTGAGAAACGTAACGGAACCGGCGCGATTACCCACCGCCAACAGAGACGCGTCAACGCGTGGAGCGGGCGTGAGGCCCCAACTAGGCTGAGAGGACCACTCAATACCTGAGAGCAGGTTTACCAATCAAGGTTTATCGGAAAACCAGGCCCGGGCCCCATGAGTACCCACGCACAGGTAGACTGCAGTTGCAACATCTGTTTGAACGCCGAACCCTGCGTCTTGGCAACGGCCACGATTTTCAGAGAGGATGTGACATCTTCGAGCTGTCAGCAGCTTTCGTAAATGTCTCATGGATGGCGCTACGAAGACATCGGCTTGCCATAACCCACTCTCCTGTGAGAAGGTTCTTGCTCGCACTCCATATGGTTAGTTCAAGGTTCGAGTTTAGCAGCGCGAGCACGCATCTGTGAGAACGGAAGATACCACCGTCAGATACCCCGTGCCTGGTGGACTGGCAGAGCACACGTTCTGCCGCACCCTGCGTCCATGGTGAGATTGCTAGGAGAAAGCGTCGCTGCCCAGAGGGAGGGGTCAAGCGAGCCTAGAGAAACGGTGCCCCACTCTGTTCGGGTGCCTTTTGAGCGTTCCGTTGCCATATATGGGCAACGTAAATACCTGAGCAATCAATAGGCCATTGATGAGGAAGAGACCGATCATATTCAATCATGGTCCTCAGCCATCCCAGCGGTCGAACGATACCGCGGGGAGAGGGCTTGATGTCCGTAATTTTCTTAATCACCGAGGAATGGACGTTGACACCCAGGTCGGGGGTCTTGAGACGGGAGATCAATCAGAGCGCGACGATCGCAAGCAACGAAACAGTACCAAAATGTAGACGGCATACTTCGTCAGGAGTACGGCTTGTCCGTCCTGGGAAAATTGCAGTCCTTGCACGGACGGGGAAACAGACACAGCCGGTAGGCCTAAGACTGTCGGAAGCGGCAGTTCCGCCATCTGTCCGTCTGTTGCGGCCCAGTAGTCGCTCTGTGGTCTCAAGTGTCAGAAGTGAAGGCTCCTGGAGTATTGACACGGGAACCGACTACTCGGGCTGGCTGCACCAAACCGAGCCTCGAGCTAGAATTCAGTCGAGCGAATGCAGGACTGGGTGCAAACCACTGCCCTGGTGAGAGACGCGTTGTAAGGCACAAGTCGGATGGCACTGCGAGAAGGTGGTCGAGGACGAATCGGCGACTCGGCTGTCCATGCTCACAGCCTGTCGGAGTCTGAACCGCAGAATCTCCGCGCGTCGCGCCCCTCCCGCGCTTCAATGTACAAAGGTGGTTGCAAGTGCAAGTCTCCCCTTGCTCCTTAGACTATATTGGACTGTGGGCAGCAGATACATTGAAAGCGATCTTGCCACACCTAAACACATACAGCATGACTGTCTGTAATTTCTCTTGCTTCGGGAAAGCCGCAGCCTCTGATACAATTTATGCAGGATCTCACGTTCTGCTACTTGCATATGTCACGCCATGACATCGAGGTGTTAGACACCATCGGTACACCAGACTATCTCAACGGCGACTTGTCCATAGAGGGTACGCAGTCAGGCAGCCGTATGGAACCCGCTGCTCGACTTGGCTCCCTTGCAGACGTCGATGTGGCCCCACACCTGAAACCCCCCAATCCCGAGGAATCGGAAGGTTGGTCATGCCGCCACCGGATGTACACGTATCGTTGACTGTTTACATGTGCATAAACAGTACTTCCTTCTCAAGTGCATCCGTCTTACCCGTATGGCAACCCGTTGAGTATCAAACACCCGGCCGCGCTACCCCGCCGGCCATACGATCCCGCTTCGCGTGCTCTCTTTGAAGACATGGGTTACGGAGGCGGTGGAGTGAACGGCTCCATTCGCTGGAAAGACCTCGCGCTCGACCTCTTGTTCCCGGTCGATCAGGCGCGGGAGGAGGCAGAGAAGGCCGCGCAAGCTCGCCAAATGGCGAACGGGACGACGTCAAATCACCCGCCGGTCCCACCACAGCCGGCGCAGAACCAAGCGGTGGAGGAAGACGAAGATGAAAATGATGAAAATGATGTAGACGACGAAGAGCAGGGTGAGGGCGATGACGAAGAGGGATTGGAGGGCGAATCGAGTTATGAGGATGATGAAGAATGACTTGGGAGACATGCCGAGTAGCTTTACGTCCGTTGCGCAGGTAACTGCGGGCAGTGTCTTTAGTGATTAGGCGCGCTGACGTTCTTATCCACGGGAGAGACTGAGCTGTGGTGGTCAGACTGCCCGGGTCGCTACGTAGTATTGATAAGTGCAATAGCGCCGTCCCATCTGCCGCCGTAACGCGCTCGCGGCAGCATGCACCAACCCGCGCAACTTGACGATGATACTTCGTACTTCATATTCGGGATTGCTGTGTTGGCGTTGATCTCGACTTCGCCACTCAGCCAGCATATATACCGGCGCACAGTGGCGTGGTAGCGTGTCATGGCAGGTTGCCGGAATTGCTGACTTCGATGACGACTGAGCTGTAACTGAGCATGGGGTCCCCCAAGGACCCGGCTCTGCTGCTGCCGTGGTGGAGCAGTCCTATCACCGATGTGCCTGGGGTAGCACATGTTGTTCTCGCCTATAGAACAATCGAATTGCGCTCCTCGGAGTTCTGCTGGTCATAGCCATCGTGGGACGAGGTGTTGTGTTATCGGTAACTTACGACTTAGAAGAAAGGATGCGGATGACAGGGAATGACGGCGTGCATACGGTGTAGCCCAAGAAATCTGGAGTCAACGTCCATGCTGGTCGGAGCCTTTGTACGAAAACCGGCTAGGAACAAGTTAGGCCATATACGCCGGGGCCGCGCTACGAAAAAGGCACCTGCGATGATCGTCACTTTCGCGCATCCATGAATGGTTCGATGTCGGAAGCATACTTACGCGGCCAGGGTGGGACAAGCCTCCGCTACTTTGGGTCATGGCGTGCCACGATCATTTCCGTCCTGCGATCACGGAAGGAAAACTGTGCGTAGGCTGGGCTCAGTAGTGAGCGTGGCAGAATATCCCTGGTCTCAAACACATAAATAAGGAGCGCGTGCTCTTGGTGAAGAAGTCTCGCTCGACATGGAATAGGCGACTTACATTCCTGGATTGATCGATATGGCGAGCAAGATACACGCAGAACATCCGGCATACGGCGTTGAGTTATAATGGTCGTCGCGGGGGATCCGCTTCGCCCGGCTTCCCAACAACTCGGTAAAAGGTCCGTAGCGCTACGGCTGAGCGCGAGCGTAGTCACGCCCGACGAAATCCCGTTGAAGGAACAGCCGGAGAAATGACATCCGTGGTGCAAGGGGACGCATGCGCTCGGGTCCGGCTGATCCTGCTCCAAATCGGAGGCGACGTTGGGAAAATCATATGCAAGCGAAGGTTCAAAAGATGGAGCGCGGCGAGCGTGTAGACAGCGAAGACGTGTGCCGCACTCAGGGTCCCGCAAAGCCTCTGGGTAACCGGCGAAGTCAAGGACGCATGGACTCGAGAGGCCTAGTCCGGTCTGCTATATACACCGAAGATCAAAGATTTGGTCGAGCGGATGAGAGCCTCGTGGTGGGTGGGACTTGTTGAGATGAGTCCGACAGATTGGGACGACTGGGGCACCATACTGTAAGGCACACCGCCCATCCTTCGACGGAAGCATGCTCGAAGCGCGTTTGGCCTTCCAGAATCCGAACTCAGGTCCAGACGCATGGCGACTACATCTCTCATTCAGATCTCGATTTATGGTTCGGATCGTCAAATGCGCGCCCGTCCAGGCCCACCCTCCTCAGCCAAAAATCAGACTTCGAGTTCGGCGACTCGGGGCCTTCGCCCAAGCGCTCTTGAAGCATGCGTTGGTGCGAATCGAACCTGGGGAAGTGACGATTCATGTGATTGTCCAATGCATAAGGAACTCTAAATAAGATGCGATGGGTACAGTGCGACAGCGACAACGACTCATGTACGTACGTAGCTACAACAGGAGTCCATGAGACGTCGACTATAGACAGAGGTATCTAGGTATGTACGGTGTGCGAAAGCAAGCAAACGACAAGGGGTAGCAATTACTCAAGAAGATATGTACAGATTATACCGCACGGTTTCTTTTGTGTGTGCACAATGACGCACTGCGGGTGACAACTGCGGGGCTGTGTGCGAATGAGCGGCGCGCGTCACAACCAAGATCATTTGTAGGCGAGGAAGTAAGCCGATAGGGCAGGGAGATCATTCGTCCCTGCGTCTGCGTAGCCTTGGCGTCGAGATCCGTTGAACTTGAGCACGATGACAGGACCGCACCAGGGCTTCTGCGCGGCGCCGGACGTTATGCGATATATCGCGCGATTCACCGGCGAGCCGCGCTGTAGCGATGTCGGGCAGTACCATATGTGAAGAGGGAACCGAAGCGGCTCGCCATTTAATCCTTGCGTGAGGATGATGGTGTTGGGCACACTTTCCGTGAACCAGTCTTGGACGAGGGGCGTGGGGCACATCCCTTGCGAGATTGTGCCTTGCGGGCGGCACTGCACTGTCGTCACCTTCACGCGGTCTACGAAAACGGAAATGCGTTAGTCGGCACAGCCCGCAGCAAGCATGGTCGGGACGCGTCGCGCGAAATCTTACCTTCGTGTGGCATGAATAACAGCGCCGACACAGAGACAAGTTCTGCCTGGGCGGGCGGCGGCGTCGCGATCATGTTCGGGTACTGGGGCTGTGGCGCGTTCGTCGGGATGCATTCGCGACGGTGGCGGGGCCAATCCTAAATACGCGGAAGTGGTCAGGGTGAAGCGCGACGCGTAAAAGCCGACATCGGACTTACACTCTGGAGATGCTCCGGAGAGCAGTACCATGCATTTTGGCAGCGGCTGCACCACATGGAAGTGGGTCGGCAGCAGATGATGCAAGGGTGGTTAATGAGCGACATATTGAAAGAGTAGTAGAGTAAGAAAATGAAGATAAATGAGAAGAAGAATAGAGACGCGAACGAGAGAACTCGAAATGACCGACGAGGGATAGGGAGGCCTATGACGGCACTGCAGGGTCTTTTATTCAACGCGAGGACGAGCGGCTCTGAGACCGCGCGGCGCGTGGGACACAAAGAGTCGAGTCTAGAAAAAGATCTGAAGGGGCCGTGCATACGTAAAACGATAGAATGGTTAAGGTACACGACCGCTGAGAGGGGAAAATGCTTACTTGGAAACTTGCTTGATGTTGTGCATGACACGCATCACGCCGCGGTACGCGACTGATCTGAAAGTCTCTTGCGCACCTGGTTGGTCAAGGTTCCCGGCCGTGAAACGTTATTATGGAGTGCAGCACGCGGCCATCGCGGGGCCTCCCGAGTGGGTACTGTACAAAAGAGGATATGACTCCTCGGCGAGTCAACAAGCCACCTCACGGACTAGGGTACGTCTGGCAGGGTGGGTAATGTATCACGTAGCTGGGCCGCTAGAAGCTGTGCGGAACGGATTCTACCGGCCTACAAGCCAAGTCGCGACACCCGCTGTCCGGGCCATGGTTCAGATCGTCGGTCTGCATCTGCAGTGACAGTCCAGCGGCATATTGGCGGTAAACTGGCAACGGTGCAGCGACGTCTCACCTGGTGCTCAACCTCTCACGGATAGCGGCGACCAAATACCACTGGCCCCGTAATATAATCTTGACCCTGACGGCGACGGCGGTCCCCGTTATCCTCCGGGGCTGCCTCCGGACTCCGGAGGTCTCCTGGGTGTCCCAGAATGGCAGAGCCGGCGCCTGTCACTGGAACGCGTCGGTGCTGGATCGTTCGAGTCGCGAGCACGTCCTCCGCTACCGAGCATCTACCATGTCCGACGACGGGATGAACATTGATGACGGTCTGCTCTAATGCTATCTATGCTAGCCTCTACCTGACATCTTGCCATACAGGGGGGGTCGTCAGGAGGAAGGGACGGGGTTTTCAGAGTGCTGCAGGTATGTTTAGCTCGAATCTGTTCCAGGCGAGCATGTAGCATTAACGTGCGTCGTTGTGTTACAGGAAACGAGAGTGCTGTCACCTCCGAGCAAGTCTTTGACAGGGTGGAGTCGGGACAAACCTCAGAAACTCGGGCTGCACGATGTGAGTAGTCCTCAAACTGCTGCGCTCCCTGCCCGCCGTCCGTCGTGCTAACACAGATCGATTCCACGCATAGCTGTCGAAGGATGGATCGTTCTTGTCACAAACGTCCACGAAGAGGCCACCGAGGAGGACGTGACGGACAAGTTCGCAGAGTACGGGGAGATTAAAAACTTGCACCTCAATCTTGACAGACGGACGGGTTATGTCAAGGTGCGTTCCGTGCTCGAGGCTGACCCTGGGGTCTGTCAGCATGGTACCAATGATACTCATCCTCGATGACTAGGGCTATGCATTGGTGGAGTATGAAACAATGGCTGAAGCGCAGGCAGCCATTGATGGCGCATCCGGGACGACTCTGTTGGAGCAGCCGCTGCAATGCGACTTTGCCTTTGTCAGGCCACCACCGGCAGGGCCGAAAAAGGGCCGGGGAAGAGAAGGTCGTGGACGGAGTGCTAGTCCGTCGCGTCGGCGCGGAGGGGACTAGAAGTCACCCGGCATCGACCCTGGTTCGAGAGGCAATTCTTCGTACGCGTCCTGTGCAACCACGTCTTTGTCCTGCTGTGGCTCTCGCTAGCCCGTAATCTCAATGTGTATTCTACCCAAGGACTCCGTTTCTCCATATCGCATGTCCATGTTGCTTCGCCAAACGCCGCGCGCAAATAATGGAGTCCATTCGCTGTTTGTACCTGGTTCGTTTGTACTACATATGCGGTGGGATGGGCGGTTGGGCGCGCACGTCACGCGTGAGTTCGCACGCCCAGTGCACAACAGCGTCTTGACCACTGGCCATCACTACGTCGTTTGCCACACCCTCCTCTTTCGTTCTCTCGCGTACCCCCCACACTCCAATGGCCAAGGCGACCATCAAAGAAGTGCCTGCCTCTGACAGTGAGGAAGAGGAGCCCAGGTCGGCCAAGAAGTCCACGTCTGCGTCCAGAAACGCGTCAGCGAACAAAGGACACGCCTCGGACGCGGTGGCGGCGGAAGAGGAGGAAGGCAGTGGCTCTGACGGGGAGGAAGAGGAGGAGTACGAGATTGAGGCCATTTTGGACGCGAAACACGGGACGTTCCCCGGGGTGCGTGTCACGCTCCACACGGTTCGCAGTCCGCGCGCGAACGGCATTCGCTGACCGCGTGTTCACGCGTCAACAGGGCAGAGTAGGCTACCTCGTCAAATGGAAGGGCTATGGCGAGGAGCACAATAGCTGGGTTGACGAGAAAGACGCAGTGTGAGTGCACTTGGCATCTACCCCATGCTGAGACGCGTGCTGACGGCTCACTATGACACCCCGCGTGCGCATATGAAGAGGCGCAAAGGAGCTCATCGACGAGTATTGGAAAAAGGTAGGCAAGAAGCGCAAGTCAGACGCGAAGCCCAAGCCCGCGGTGAAGCCTCCAAAGTCGAAAGAGGAGTCGGACGAGGAGCCAGCTCAGCCCGCCAAGAAGCGTGGCCGGCCTTCCAAAGGGCAGACCAAGCCTGTAGATGAGGACCAAGACGAGGACATGGAGGACGAGGCACCGAAGAAGAAGCCGCGAAAGAGCACAGGGGGAGCTAGTGCGAAGGGCACAAAGCGCGGCGCGGCGGCCGCGGGGGAACTTGACGAAGAGAGTAACTACGCGGACATGTCCAAGTGGAAGGATCTCGCCACTTGGGAACATCTCGTCCAGTCAATTGACACCGTTGAGCGCACGGAAAACAACACGTTGTTGGTTTACTTCACGCTGTAAGTACCTCCGGTCGCGGTGCCCGGCTTTGCAGTCCATGGACGGCTAACGTTGTGCCTGTTATCGCCCCAGGAAAAATGGTAAAGGACAAGGAAGAGAGACATCAGACGTTTGCAAGAAAAAAATACCTTACAAAGTTTGTCACCGCCTTCACAGGAGCCGTCATCGGTTACTCACCAGTCCTTGTCAGCTCATCGAGTTCTACGAGAGCAATCTCCGATGGAAGCAGACAGACGAAGACGCTATGGAGGAGTAACATCGCTAGCTACTTTTGATCCCGTGCGCTCCGAAGTTGCTGTGGGCTGTCCCGCGGAACTTCGTGTACATACGCTGAACCCCGTTTTGCGCTCTCAACTGTACTTGCTTTGTGGCCATGTTGTGTTTGCTCCTCGCCACCTCTACGTAGATATTCTAATGTTGACCGATCTATCTGAGACCTAATATGTAGTGCACGAGTGTTAAACCCGCCCGCAACCGGCCGGGAACAGCGAACGAACCACCAACTCCCGTAAGGTTGAAATTCAGATATCGCATGACATGACGGAATGCAGCGGATGGAGACATTGGATGATACTCTTAACGATAGCACAGCCGGTACTAAACATAACATATGGATACCATATAACGAAGCATGTTGCGCAAGTACGGTAGGGGAGGGAGGGCAGTGGTTGATGTACGTACAGCAAACCAACGCACAGGAAGGCCAAGCCTTCCGAATAAATAATGCGGGGGTCACAAGAGACGGATGCAAGGTTCCAATAGAGTTGTGACGGCGCCAAGGACAGGGCACTGTGCCTGGGTTCAAGCCTAGAAGACGTTAGAACAAATACGCTCCCTAGAAGCCTTCAGCCCAAGCGCATCTCACAAACACAGCCTTAGGAATCAATTAGCCATACGCCACATAAGCAAGGTTTACAACTCCTGATGCAGGGGCGCTGCCTCGGACGTCTCCTCGCTCGCAATATCCTCCTTGAGACTTCGCGCGACGGCGTCAGCATCCTTGACTTTTTCGCGCTCGTCCGGGGATGAGGTCTTCTGGGCGTCCGCCTCCACGATTCGGTTCAACGCAGCCTCGACCTCCTCCTTTCCACGACCGATTACCACAGGGGGGACACCGGTTTCCGCGGGCGTCTCGGTTTGCTGTGGGTCTTCGATGGGGAGAATAGACGCGGTCCCATCCTCATCCTCCTCGTCAGCGGCTTCAGGGCTGCCGAATGCGCGAGCGCCATTGCGCTTAATCTTACGAAGACGAGCGTTGAAGCCTGAGATCACGTCCTGGACTTCATCCTGAAGCTCTTGGATAGCAGGAACGACTGGGTTGATAGGTGGCGATTGGTGACTGCCGTCCTGGACGCTGTGCGCGTGCGCAGTGAAGTTCTCGCTCCCTTGCAGATAGGCGTAGGTTAGCAACTGAGCGAAACTGATCAACAGCATCCAGAAATGACGTACGACGAGCCAGATCATGGTAACGTTGCCAGTCTTGGTACGTGACGTCGTCGAGGTACGCGTAATCGAGACCGATGTCAGCCTGAGCGCGCTCCGCAAGATCCTTGATTTCCGCCGTAAGCTTCTCCACCTGAAACAGACATGAAACATCGTAAGCAACATTCATCTTACTTTATGGTTACCATACATACCTCCGCAAGCTCTTTGTCAAGAACACCCCTGTACCAGCCGTTGACGACGGTTTCGGTCTGGCGGAGGCGGTCGTTAAACTTCTCCTCGACCTTTCCAACGATACGGTCCCAGAGTTTTCTCTTCTCTTCAATCGACCTACCCTCCTTCCGGAGGTTGGCAAGGTACTTCTCGGCACCGCGGAGGAACTTCTCGCCGTCCTCAACAAGGCTGTCTACCTCATTCCGGATCTCCTCGTTGTCCTTCAGCTCGACCACGGCAGCTTTACGGATCGCCACAAGAGCCTTGCGGAGAGACTTCTTGTTTACCTGGATTTGTTCGATGATCTTAGTCTCCCACTTGGCGTGACGGCTCTCGATATTTGCGCGGTCACGTGCAGTCTTCTCGCGGCGAGCTTGGAGACGGGCTTCCTGTTCCTCGTCGGTCTCGACCTGAGGCTGGGATGGGCTGGTGTCCTCGGAAGGCTTATCCGAAAGCAGTTCCTCCTCCGAGAGACCGAGCTCGGCCTTGAACGCGTCCAGGTCCAGATCGGACAGGGGGTCAGAGTCGTCGTTTTCCTGCACCTGGACCTCTGGTTCGGCAGGACTAACGGTCGAGGGAACAGCATCGGCAACATCTGGGATGGACGCTATGGCGAGCGTGGCGGTGTTAGAAGCCACGGCAGAAGAACCAATCAAGTCTTCCGAGTCGGAAGGAGCTACTGTACCCGCCACATGCACTGCGGATGACAGTGCTTCGCTGGCTCCGTCGTGAACTGCTGCAGTAGCATGTTCTACCACCGAGGAGGCGACAGAAGGGATCTCCTGGGCGACTGATGCCGCACTGTTCAAGGAGCCATGTACGGCAGCCTGGGCTTCCGCGGCAAGAGATGAGACCGGTGGGACAACGGCGTCACTTGCGGCTCCTGCGGCGGAAGACAGCGTGGACGATGCGGTCTCAGAAATCGCCGGCGTGGTGGACTTCAGCAAATCGGATGCGCTCGATAATACCGAGGACGCCTGGCCACCTACCACAGCGACAGACGACTTCACGCGGTCCGTGGCCTGCGAGACAGGTAGTACTTCTGATCGCAAGATAGATGCGGTCTGAGCGGCCGAGCTCGAAATAGCGGAGGTTCCAGACACGGCAGCTGACGCAACGGAGGACAAGGATGAAGAAGCCTTCGCCGAGGCCTTGGAAACCTGGGAGGAGGCCTTGGACAGCTGCGACGAGGCGGCGCTTCGGGCCTGGGATACAGGAGGCGCCTGGGGTTGACCACTCATCTCCTTCACATGCTCCCAGATCTTCTGAACGTGGGGGTCCACGAACTGTCGCCGTTGCTCGCCTAAGATAGCCGCAAGTTGCGCGACGACCGCCTTGATCTTCTCCCACACAGGACGAGCATGAGGGCGTGCGGCTTGATAACCCTGATACGTCTTCTGGGCGGCAAAGGCAGCGTATGGACGGGTTTGTTCCTGCAGCTGGTGCAAGGTGGAGGCGGTGCGCCGCACGTAGGGAGCCAGATACTGCTCATACTCCTTCTCGACCCGGGTGCGGTATGGTGCGGTTTGCGCATCTAATTTCAGTAGCTGTGGCACAGCGTACTTGTGGTAAAGCGGCACGACGCGCTTGTTCCATTGCGGAACGACGCGGGCATCGAACTCCTTGTGGATCCGAGCCGCGATAGGCTTCGCTGTGCGTACGGCGTAGTCGGCATACGGCTTGGCTTTCTCCACGTAAGGGGCCACCGCAGGGTGAGCAAGTGCGTGCTGAATCGGCGGAAGGATATACGGTTCGATGACGAGAGCCCGATACTGCGCGAGGCCGCGACAAACCGGTGATTTTAGGTTCTGATCTTCCGGACAGATCGCAAGGGTATAGATGGTAAACCAGAGCAGGAACAGGCGGAAAACAAATTCCATGAAGCCCGTGGAATTACTAGATCGCTTCTTGGAGTAAAATTTCAGCGAAGGCTCGCGGGAAAACGAAACTATTCATTACTTTTCCGCCCTTCTTGGTTTTCTGTTTCCCTTTTGTCTTCACCGATTTGGACGCTGCGCTAGGCTAAAGGATGAGACGCGTGAGCACTACATCGTAACATTAGTCAACAAAGCGAATCAGATTCTGGAACAACCAAAATCGCGACAGTTTGGGCACCGGAAGTTCTGTCTCCGACTGCCCGACGCGTGACTTCGTCGGAAGTGAATGTATCCAGCAATAGCGACCCAAGGTCAAGCCCACCGCGTCAACCATGATTGTGGCAACGGAAATAGTTCCAATGCGGTTGGCAACACGCGATGAGGTGGGCGGTCCCCACCTGGTAAACTGACGAACTTTACAGACGTTTCAAAAGGTAACCAGGCCGCTTCACAGGTCATGGCGCTAAGTGGAAGTCGGGACAAAGGAAAGACCGTTGCGTTAACCTTTCTAGGTCATCCCGTACGCGCGTTCTCTTTCATAGAGGCACAAGTAGACGGGCATCCACGAGCAGAATCTGGCGCGAAGAGCCGCACACAGCGTAACCGAGACGAAGGTAGATATCAGAACACTCACGGAACTGTCCGTCTCCCCAACATGTGCCTTATTAGTGGTATCGAGTGTGGTTCCATTAGAGAGAGGGCTTGATTTGTTGGGTAGGCTCTGCGTGTCTTGGTCTGGCTTCTTTGCAATATGGGGAATAGGTTGTGAGGAAGGGTTGCGCGAAGTAGGCACGGGGGCAGCGGGGGTGCGTCGTGTGACGACCATGATGGGAGCTGTAGGATACGGGGTGCACCAGGCAGACTATATGCGTGATTGAGAAAGCAGACGCGAACTAGAGAACGAAGGACATTCAAGAAAGTCGACAAAGTGAGCGAAGGCGGAGCAGAGTTGGGCTTGCAACATGCTCAGGCGCTCGTAGACGTGTAATATGTTTGCACAGGTTTGGCCCACGTCGTCATCGACACCAACACTCACCTGCTCGTCCTCCAGGATCACCTCCACGTCCCGCAATCATGCCTCCCTCCTCCAGGCCCCTCACCACTTATTCGCGCCGACGCACCCGACCCAGAGAGGCCGAGACAAATGTTACACAATCCTCGCCCATCAGAGCGCTCAGTCCAGAACGAGAAGACGTTGCTTTCTCTGTGATGGCTGGTAGGATGAACAAACGCGCGCGTTTGGTCTCACGCTCCATCAGAGCCACCGACAGTGCCGAGGACAGTACAAACCCAAATGTAGTACCAGACAGTCGCCCGTCAAAGAGGAAAAAGGCGGCCTCGACTTTCGAAGGCGAGGCTTCATCAAACAGTGACTATATGCGCGATAGACATGCACCCATGGCCTCCCAAATTCGTATTCCTGGGCTCGCGATGCCGTCGGACCAATTTATGACAGATTCTCCTACTAGGTCAGCTCCAGCACCGACGGACAAACTCTCAGACAAACTCTCACCTCTGCCAGTCGCCAAGAAGATGCTGTCACGGACGAGCTCTCGCAACCTCAAAGAGAATGCTGCTCGGGTCGGCTCTCGTCCTCTCGCTTCTCCATTCAGCAGTCGACCAAACTCCCGCGCTTCTTCGCCCAGTGTCACTTCCCGCGGTGTTCGGGTGCGACTGGTGCACCACTCTCGGGCTCTCTCTCACGTTGACGCTCTTCAGGAAAAGGTCATCGATCGCAACGTCCTCCAGGCGACATCAGGGGCAGCGGGATCTCGAGTTACCCCGACGGCCATCGGACTGACGGATCCGGGAGTCCAGGGAAAATCAACTACACGCATGCATCATAGCCGTTCGAGTTCTACCCCTGCATCGAAGTCAGCGCTGGACCCTCGGACTTGTGAAGATTGGCTTGTTTCGGCGACAACAGCGCTTTCACATCCAACAGCGGCTGCCCAGCTGGACGCCGAAGGTCGAAGAGGGGACACAGCTGTAGAACACGCGTCTTTCTTCATCGATGCGCCCATGCAGATATCGACTCCTCCGCGGACACGAAAGGGTTTCACTGTCGGCGCCTGGGGACACGGTCTCATGCCGCAACTTGATGCTGATCCTCCTCCTCCTGTCCGGAGTTTCAGGTACGACAGCGACGTGGATATGTCCGATAGTAGCCTCCCCAGCTCTCCGACAGACTCCCGATCCAGCCGACCCGAAGTTCCGCGTCGGCGCCGTCGGACTATAGTCCATCTCTCTAGCGACAGTCTTTTCTCGTCATCCTTCAACTTCTCTGCAATCATGTCTGAAACGGGGCGGTTTCCGAGGCCTCCTGCTTCGGAAGGATCTAGATCTCCTGAGGCTCACCCGCTTGTCTTGGAGTCAGAGCTTGCGCCCGCTTTCTCGCTCAGCAACTCACCCAACAATCTAGAGACTAGGATCGGATCTAAGGTGAATGTGACAGAGGCTCTTACTGGTTCTGTAGACTGTCTGCGGCCTCAGGACCCCTCGGATGATCGGGGGAACATTGCTGGACCGCCTTCTCGCTTTGGTCTCGGTCTCGGTCCTACTCAGGCTGCACCGGACCTTGAAGGTGACGAGCTGTTGGACCTGTTCTCGGTGCTTGGCCTAGATGGTGAGTGCCGACTGCGCGTTTGCGCGTTTTTCATGCCAAGGTCCTTCCGACGATGTTTCTCTTGCTTATACTTTATGCTACACAATCAGAGGACCAGAAGTGGTCGAGTTTTAAGCGCGCTGATGACTCAGGCGTGGTTTTCTCTTCTGATCCGTCCGAAGGAGATGCACGGTGGACCTCCGCCAAAGCGGGTCGGGTTGGGCGCAAACGTGGTGATACCATCCGGGCATCCGACTACACGAAACCTTCTGCGCTAGTTACATCGGGTTCTCTTGACTGTGCTTCTACTTCGGGCTCCTCTGGTTCTCGAAGGCTCCCCACGAGGCGTACTCGCTCTGGGACTGTCACTCAGGCTAGCTCTAGCTCTTCAAGCACGCGGCGCAAACACGAAGGCTGGCCAACCATTAGAATGCGGACGAATCCGGAACCTCTTCGTGCCGACGAGAACGAGGATGACGAACTTCTATTGAAAGACGGGGACGTCATTGAATGAAGTTGTGCTATGTTCGACCTGTTTGTGAGTGACACCTTGTCCTTTTAGCGTGTGCTACATCTTGAGGTTGTCCTCCGCGCGCAGTTTCAAGCTATACCTCTTCAGCATCCGGTATATCTGTACCCTGAACTTTGCCGGCCAATCTCTCTACCGCTTTGCAATTGCTCTCCCTTTCTTGTTCCGTAGATCGATTCGTCATACTCTTGTCGCCTCTGCAATATACCCAATCCTGTTCTCTGTACCATGTCCTGCGTGAGCGACCCGCAAGCGAACTGCCAATCGGTGAAGAGGTTCCTGGAGATGCACGGGGTTAGGGTTACGAGCGATAGCCGCGTGACTGCAGCGTCTCGGGCGCCAGCGCTCGAAACTGTAACACCAACCTACTCCAGAACCACCACCATCGTCAAGAATCTTGTCACCGGATCCTCTTATTTCGCCTTATTTTCATCCATATTACAGGTCTTCGAGGTGTATGCCGCTTACACCGCCAACGCCACCAACGCCGCTTGCCGGCGGACCCTCACCGGCGCCACGCCGGAAGGCGACCCATAGTCTGTATGGGATGCAAGTGCGCGCTTTCGTGGAGGCGGCGGAGGTCGTTGACGCGGATCCCGAAGTAATAGAGGACATCCTCGACGGATTCCTATTGGATGATTCGTCCGATGATGCGGAAGACGAGGACGCGGACGTCGACGTCGAAGGCGGACCCGGCCCGGGGACCACGGTCCGGGACGAAGAAAGCGACATCGAGGACGACCCCGAGCAGGACGAGTTCGCTGCGTACCTTGAGGAAGGTAAGCTTGGCTCGGCTGCGACGCTCGACTGAGTGCACGATAAGCAGTCGCCACGTCCGTTTGAGGCACGCATGGATTACCGGCTGTGCTATCGAATGCGCAATGCGGAGGCGAGCGCGAATTGGCACTTCGGTGCTTCCGAGTGGTTCTCGGCACCTGGTATTTACCACATACTGACACGTGCGTTGCCCCAGCGCAAACCGCATGGACGGCACAAGAGGTGAAGGAGATGAAGTATCTCCTAAAAGAACATGGTGAATCTATCTATTTTCGTGCCCAGGTGGTATGCTTGACTCACCTCTACTAGGCATGGCCGCTTTTGTAAACGAGTATGTGATCCAGCGGACGATTCCGATACCGAAGTTGTTGTACGCCTTCGGTGTCTGCCTCGTGAGTGATCACACGCCCTTTCCTTCGATCACGCCCGACTCCATCGGTGGCTTACTATCTGTCGCAGTGCAAAGAGCTACGTATGAAGCAGCGCCGGACGCTCATGTACTTCCTGCGCGTAGCGCTCTCTAGAGAGTGCGTGCCCTAGGAATTCCCATGCGCCGTTCTTTCACCCACAAACACCCTCACATATATATCTTTCCACGTTGCGCAGATTGGAATCGCGTGAGCGGTTGCTAACGTACAACACGATCGACGACGTGGTCAATCTGATCAAAGCGTCAAAACGAATCCTCATACTGACTGGCGCTGGGATAAGTCAGTCTCTTTCGTTTTCCTTCATTTCGATTCCGCCATATATTGCTTCCGGATGGCCTTTGTGGCGTCCGAGAACGGACAATGAGAACGGCACTAACGCTGACTCTGGTTTCCATGTTCCTGTCGCATGCCTACTTGGACAATTTGACTCAGGTGTCTCCTGTGGTATTCCGGACTTCCGGTCGAGAAACGGGCTGTACGCCTCCCTACAGGAGAACGGTGAATACGACCTCGACGATCCGCAACAGATGTGGGTGGGTCCGAGTTGTAGCGGTTGGACAGTTGTCTGATCGCCATTGCCTTTTAGGTTTGACATCCAGTACTTCCGCGAGAACCCAGCTGGTGAGTGCCGCCGAGCGTTTTCAACACGAGGCCGGATCTCACTTGCTTCTCTTCTCTGCTATTCTAGTATTCTAGTCAGTGCATTCTGGACATACCTTTCGCCTATCGCGCGCTTACAAAGAAGCTCCGCCCGCAGTTCATTTGCGAGGTTGGTCCTGACGTGGCTGCGGTACGTGGTCGATCAACTGATCTACCGGCGGTCTGCAGTAAAATATACCCCTCGAACTTTATACCCTCTCCCTGTCACCGATTCATCAAGCTGATAGAAGACAACGGCAAGGTATGTGTCTCACGGCTACTTCAATGACTCCCTGAGTCAAATCAGACGCTGCATCTTGCCACATTCTACGTAGCTGCTGCGTGTAAGTGCCTCAATTCAATCCACTTTGGGCCTACAGAGACAGAGGTGCCTTTCCTGTGCCACAGAACTACACACAAAATATAGACACACTGGAAACGCTGGCTGGCGTCCAGCGCGTCGTCCAGTGCCACGGCTCCTTCGCCACCGCCTCTTGCATCAACTGCAAAGTGCGCGTTCCGGGAAGTGAGATTGCGGACGACATCATGAATCAGCGCGTGCCCGTCTGCAAAGTCTGCAACGTCCCGCAGCCGCCATTGGGCGCGACGAAGGGCAAGAAGAAGGGCAAGAAACGGAAAGACGGGTGGGATAGCGATGCTTCCGACGAGCCGGAGCCTCCGCTATACCCACCCGGGATCATGAAGGTAATTTCCATCAACATCGGCGCGACGTGGACATGTTGTGCATGTCATGAGAACTAGGAGCTAACGCGCTGCACCGTTTCCATCCTCACCGCCACGCAGCCTGATATAACATTCTTTGGGGAGAAACTGGACGATGTATTCGACCGATCGTTGTTGGAGGACCGGGGAAAAGTCGACCTGCTCATCATCATCGGCACGTCGCTCAAAGTGTCACCTGTTTCTGATACAATCTGTAAGTCTTGTTTGCAACCTTGTGTCCGGGGAAAAGGTTGGACTCACGGACGTACTGCGCCAGCCCACTTGCCGCACTCCGTACCACAAATCCTTATCAACAAGACGCCTGTAAGACACATTAACCCAGATGTGAGCATTCGTCCATCGGACATTGGCCACATGTTGCTCCGCATAGCTAATGGACCATCCATGGCCCTCACCTCAGGTGGTCCTACTCGGGAACGCCGACGACATCATCCTCCATCTCTGTCAGAAATTAGGCTGGGATCTCCCGGAACCACCCCTTCCGACTACCTCGACGCATGGTGGCAGCAATAGTGGCAGCAATAGCAGGCTCAATGCCCCAACGCCGAATTTGAGGAAACGGCCTTCAGCGGAATTCGAGAAAGAGCCTCGTCGGGTTGGCAATAGGTGGGTAACACCCTTCAACCCGCCGTACTGGGTTTCCCGGCGGCGTAGCGCGGGGGGTTAGGATCTGAACACGACAGACTGACGTGCGTTTTGCAGTCATGTATGGCTATTTGAGGGTGCGGAAGGCGGTAAATGGGTCGAGGAGATCGAGCGCAAGTATCAGCAAACAGCCTCCGAGAGCACGTCTGCGGCGCCTACTCCGCTGTCGAGCCCACCAGCGTCCGAGGTCGGGGACACCCGTCAAATGAAGAAAGCCAGGGTCCACTGAAAACCGACGAATAGGGCGAGGTCTCCGAATTTTGATCACCACCGCCGGAGACGCAGCCGGAACGCGTTCTTCGACTGGGGCGACTTCGCGTCCAAATAGTCCTCATAGAAGCCGACGATGAATTCTTCCGCCTTGAATCCGAAGCGGTTGTATAAAAGCTGTCCAGGACTGCGAGTCAGATATTGCGCACAAGACTCAAGCGTAAATTGAGGATATGAGGCACGAACCATTGCTGGGTTGTTGATAGAGACGTGCAGGGTGATATCTTTATGTGGATTTAAACTAATGAGGTGGTAGAGCATAGAACTATAATGATTGAGTAATGCACATCGTATGTCAGCCGATACTCGATTTGTCTTTACGCGACAAGACTCACGTCGCGATCTGGGAATTGTCCCAACCAGAGCGAACTGCCAGGTATGTGATATACGTCTCCTGTGGCGAGCTGAGAAACGCAGCCCCAACGATGAGTTGCTTGTACATCGCTACAATGGTACACTTCTCTGGCGTATAGTCCAGGCTGTCGGTCACTGAATAAGTATGTAAGCCTGAATTGTGGGGCCACGAGATAGCCGTAAGGTGGACACACCATCGATGCCTTCCCAGAACACTCTTCCCAACAGATCATGAACCTGGTCAAGGTGGCAGCGCTGTAGAGTGCTGTATACCACGGGAGCTACGCTCTCTGCCGCTTGCTCTCGCTCGGGACTGCGGTGAAACGTGTTACCGGAACGCATATAGTCAGCCTACTACGCATGGACGCACTGTGCAAGACTGTAATGCTCTCGTATATCAGTCATAAGTTCCATCCATGGTGTGCGGGTCTCCCAGTCGACGGCAATGGCGTTGATTTGGTGGTCGAGATTGAACCCTTGCAGTCGAGAAAGGAACGAGCTTTCATAAGGAGTGCTCCGAATCGCGTAGAGCGCATCGAGAACTTCAGGATTGACCGTTGAAATCGTGCGTGACGAGCGCAAGGGTGTGAGTGACCCAGACGCCATATATGAGGGGGTGCGCTCCAGAATCACGCGGCGTAAGGGCCTCTGAGGAAGGGGTCTCTACGATCGACCAAAATTTGGCAGATACTCGGATGATCACGCACCGACTGGGTTCTAGACTTGGCGTGCATGATGCAAGCAAGCACAGAGTCCGGCATTTCCGCATTGATTGACTCGTGGAGCTGCACTGCCTTGGACCTTGGCAAAAAGTAGTAGAAAGTTGGCAATGACGACTGTGCTATTCTCAGACAAGGTCTCTACGCGCTGAGAGTAGAACTCACGTTCTTCTCATCGTCTTGTCCTTCCCGCTCAAAAAAGGCGCTTTCTGCCTGGAGTAGTCCCGGAAGTAGAAGTTCGATGACCTCATCGAAAGAATCCCGCCTGTCTGCTTCGTTTGCCCAATCTTGTGCAGTTTGCTCGTGCAAGGCTTGCAGAAGAGGGTCGAGTGACCACTGCGGTAGCGTCGATTCCTCGACTTTGATGGCTACTGCCTTTGCGCGTCTGGTCTGGATGACTTTTCGTCGTTTGCTCTTGCGCGTCTGATGTCTTGCACGTAGGTACTCTGTAGCCAACCGACAATACCAAAACTCGACTCACCGCACGCGCGTCTCTGTACTCGTCATCCTCAGAACTTTTCCACTCAGCGTCGGATATCATGTTAATTGTATGTAATCAAGTGCAGCTCGCGATATCTGAATCGATCAAGAAATGGTGCAGAAGGGATAGGAGACAGTGGAGGAGAGCTTTGTCCGAGGTTGAGTTAATGGTGGAGGTGATGATGCAAGAGGCGGCAATTGGCGCTGACTGGGCGGAAGTCGCGGTCACGATGCCGTGTTTGACCAATTTTATTAAGGCTCTCATGCGAAGAGTACTGCAGTCTTTGGTGTTCTCAGTACGTGACAATAACTTATACAAGATATGAACGATTTAGCCTCATTTTTTCTGTACGTAGAACATACGGAAGTGCTTGCCATCCATTGACGCCGACTTCTCCGTACTATTACTATAAGATGCATTGCGAGCTCGAAGGCCAGATATCTTCTGCTTCATGTCTTCCATCGACAATCAAACTAACTGACGTGCTTTATTCGATACACTAGATAAGCTAATGACTGCTAGACGAGTATATACAATGCGAGTCCCGTGATCAAATTTACAAGTCGAACGGGAAGCAGAAGGGAAAGGTGCACAGGTACAGGCAGCCCAATTCTCCTGTTCAGTATGCTCTTTTAGACGCCTTGCTTCGACAGGAACAGGGACTCCTATACGGATATCAGACTGCAAAGAAGGATAACGCAAGTCAACAACGACCCGAAGTTTCCCAAACGTGTTTAGAGAAAGTGTTGCGGACATAGCTCTAGACGCGATGTTAGCCACGGACAGCCCGCATCATGCTCGGGCGTGTGATCCTCAGCCGAGGGATCGAGGGAAACCATTGCCCACAATAGCCCCGCGCTCTATTGTAGCTAGTGGCTGGAGTGGAGCATGTGAACGCTAAGACAGTAGCTATCTGGTCGGCCCAAATCCAGCTTCTTCAGCTGACAAAACGATTGGCTCACCCTCTCATCTGTGGCACCGAGTATGGGAACGTCGCTCTCTATTGATATTGGCGGCCTACATGCCATATAACGCCACGGTATGCTTCGACGTGTTATATATTGCGTGCTACGTCCCCCGTCTACTCCCCGAAACCATGTCCTCCATCCCGTTCACCGGACTGTTCATCGACGGCGAATGGCGCCCCGCCAGCACTGGCGCCACGTTCGGCGTGCTCAATCCGGCCACAGGGAAGGCCATCGGCACCTCAGCATCCGCGTCGGCAGACGACTGTGTGGCAGCGATAGAGGCCGCCGCGCGTGCGTTCAAGACATGGGAGCACTCCCCCCTCCCCGTCCGACGCGACGTCTTCCTCCGGGCGGCCGAGCTGCTCGCCACAGGGAAGTACAAGGCCAAAGTCGCGGCGGCGACCAAGGAGGAACTTGCTGCCTCGGCCGACATGTTCTGGATGAACCACACCGTGCAGATCAATCACCTGCGCAATTTCGCCGGGGCGATACAGCTGCTGAAGGGCGAGACTTTCCCATCCGTGGTCCCCGGTGGCCAAGTGTTTGCGCAGAGGAGGGCACTAGGGGTGATGTGAGTACTGGCGTTTGTGTCGTGATAAGACATCGACACAGAACTCACGCAACCGACTGAGCAGCTTCGGCATAGCGCCGTGGAACGCTCCCACCGGGCTATGCATCCGAGCTATAGCTATCCCCCTGATCTGCGGTAACACCGTCGTCCTGAAGTCTTCGGAAGAGTGTCCACGAACCCATGCTGTCATCGTCGAGCTGTTCGAGGAGGTCAGTTGCGACAGGAGTTAGGCCCGGCTCTGACTCTGCTGACACGAGTGCGTGGATCGGATGACATAGGCAGGATTGCCTAAAGGCGTCCTGAACTTCATCTCCGTGTCCAAAGAGGACGTCTCCGCCCGCGTATCCCAGATCATCGCCCACCCTTCAGTCCGCAAGATTAATGTAAGGCGCCTCCTGCCGTGTTCCTACAGCAGTCATGGAGCCGAACAGCACTGCAGTTCACAGGAAGCGACCGCGTAGGGTCGATCATTGCCGCGGAAGCTGCGAGGCACCTCAAGCAGTGCGTCCTGGAGCTCGGCGGAAAAGCTCCTGTCATCGTACGTCGTCCTGCTGTGCCTCCCGCTTCCGCAGATCGCTCGACAGAAACCGCGGCCGATACAGGTACTCGACGATGCCGACGTCCGGCGGGCAGCACGGGCGATCACGTCCTCCGCCCTCCTTCAATCGGGACAGATCTGTATGTCAACGGAGCGGGTCATCATTCAAAGAGCGGTCGCCCCCGCCCTCGTCGAGGAACTCACGGCTCTCTTCAGGAAAGGCAAAGCCGGAGACCCTGGCACGGAGCCCTCGGCGAACCTAGGCCCGCTCTTCACGGAGGGCGCCGCCGAGAATGTCCTGGCTATGATCCAGGAGGCCGTGACCCAGGGCGCGCAAGTCATCCTCGGAGACCTCGTCCGGCAGGGGGCATACGTTCAGCCGCACATCGTGATGAATGCTAGACCGGGGATGAGGCTATGGGAGCGAGAGAGTTTCGGACCAGGTACGCACCTCTCTGTGCCCGAGCGACGTGCTTGTTACTAGTGACTGAGAACGACGTGCTGTTTGGGCCTGGACCTGAGCAGTTGTGGCAGTGGCAGTCGTTGACACCGTCGATGAGGCAGTGGACTTGGCCAATGCTTGCGACTATTCAATGACTTCCGCAGTATGGACCAAAGACGTATACAGGGCGTTCGATGTCGCTGGAAGAATCCATACTAGTGAGTCGCTGTAGCATGCCGTATGCGACGGCCGGCTGACTGGCTGCCTCAGCTTGCGCCAACATCAACGGTCCCACTATACACGTCGAGTTCATGCGAGATTTGGGCGGTCTCGGGTAAGAGGTCCCTTCGGATTTGGGCGAGACAAACTAACTGGTAGAATGGTGTGGCTGGCAGGGGCGCGAGCGGGTACGGCCATTTTCGAGTGGAAGACTGGACGGCGGTGAGAATGGTGGTCCTCCACCCGAAGGAAGAGCCACCGTATATATTGCTGGATACTCTGAACGCGACACGAAATGCCAACGGTGCGACTAATACGGTGAACGTGACGAATGGGTCTTCTCACCTCAACGGGACGTCACAGACAATTGATTAGTCCTCATGAACGGCGGACTCCATGGATAAGAGGGAAGGTGTAGCAACTATCATTAACCTGGTATATCCGTATAAATTAGAGATGTGGTGGTAGCAGCGTTAACATTTACACCCCTACCGATGCAGTAAGTTGCAACCGGAGCATGCGCATGTGTGCCACTTCGTAAGAGGTGCAGGAAACGTACCTTTGATAAGTCGTTAGATGCCAGTCGTTAAGACTTTTCTGCCAAATCTGGTGCAGGTTTAGAGACGGTCTGCACGCGTTCGTACAGCTCTCGCTTTTGTAGTGACCGCTGTAGCTCCTCCTCCCTTTGCCTCATTTTGTCCCGCCGTCGCTCATCATCCTTGAGCACACCCTGATACATGGTCTGAGATTGCACATGATCAGTACGTGCCTTGCCAAGCTAAAGCCACCACGCACCGCACGTTCCGTCACTTGCAAATGATGCACTCCCCATACAACGAGCACCGATGTGAATATGGCAGCTCCGAGCGTGAACTTGGCCGCACGCGACATGAGTGATCGATGCTGGCGCGATGACAAAAGCGTCGATCCGGGGACGAGGACGATGAGGACGTAGGACTGGCGGAAGCAGGCAGGTTGTAGACAGCTGGAGAGAGGCGCGGGCAAGGATGGTACCGGGACACGATCGAGGACGATGAGGTCAGCCGCGCGGCTGTGGGACTGTGGCTGCAACTTCGAGCCCTCTACTGACCTTCACCTGCTACAAACCCACATATCTCACCACACCATCCTGCTCGCTCACTACTAGCCCAACTGCACCATGCCACTACAACCTACCATCCAAGACATTCTACAGGTACGGTAGAGCGCACTCAAGGAGCGATACATCCGCTGAAGTTACCCCGCACCGTTTATCCCGGCACCTTCAACGTCTTCTAGAACGAATTCTCCCCACCCCTTGACACCTCGCTCATCGCCGCGATAGTTGCGGATTACGTTTCTGGCGAGGAAGTTAATAGGGAGGATGAGCTTCGCCAGTTGCGCGAGGTTCTGAGCAACTTGGCCTCTTCAGCGGAGAAGGAGCTAGTGGACTCGGACGAGACGCCTTCTAGTTTTCCTCACCTGAACGTCTCCCCCACTTCTTATGCGGACGATACGTCGAGCTCGTTCGACTATTCCACCACCGACAACTCTGGCTATACCTCCACAAGCTCTGGCTCCGATGGCACCGGTCAGCCCTTCAGCCACCCTCTTGGATTCCTTCGCGCACTGTTCCCACAAATCTCTGCGGACAGGCTCAAGACCATCCTAGCGAGTCATGACGGACGGATAGACGACCTAGATATGGAAGCATTGGTGGAGGAGGTCCTAACCACCGAGTATATGCGAGAACTGGAGGAGCGTGGTCTTGATGAGTCCGAGTCAAAGGAGTTTGGATACGAGGCGCCTTGGGAGTTGGTGGAGAGGAAGAAGAAGGGAGTGCCAAAGCAGAAGAAGCATTTCAAGAAGCGTACAACCTTCACGCTCGTGGACATCCGGCAGCAGCAGCACGCCCGCCCGACCGCTTCGGGTCCCCGCACGCCAGCCCCGGATCCATGGACGCAGCTCGCTTCCGTCGCTTCCCATCTGGCCACGCTCATCCCGTCCCAGTCGGTCTCGTACTTCCAGTCGGTCTTCCACTCCCCAAACTACTCCTCTCCTTCGCAGGCGCTCCGCGCTGCGTTGGTCCAGGTCGCCCGGCAGGTCTCCAAGAATTTCAATGACGAGCTCACGGAAGAGGAGAGCCCCCTCCTCTTCAGCATGTTCGAGATCCTCACCACATCCCAGAACTATGCCGACCTCAACGTGGAGGCGCGCGATCAGCTCCTGGAGGACGCGCTCTTCGCGCTGCGCGCAACCGGCGGGGACCCAAACGTCGCCCTGGACATCGTCCAGATCCTGGTGGAGCTCGACGCGGACCTCTCCACCAAAGAGTTCGCGTGGGGTGTCTACCACCAGCAGGCACCCCAGCTCAAGGCCACGGCAAAGCTGCCGTCCGGCCCGCCCAACATACCACCCCCACCCAACATAAAGCGGGGTTCCCAAACGCTACCCTCGTCCCCCGTCTCGGACAGGCCTCGCGAATCTCCCAACGTGTGGAAGACGATCCCCGTCAAGCCTAGTCCCGACGGCCCGCACCCTTTCGACGGCGTCATTCGCGCATACTCGAATCACACCCCAACGAAGCCCGCGCGCAAGGTGCGGGGCGGCGGGAACGGGAACGGGAAGGGCGGGAAAGGCGACGTCGGGGAGCTCCAGACGTCGACCAACAGCAGCAAGGTGGTGGAGGCGAGGCGGCAGTGGGAGCTGCAGGAACAGCGGAGGGCGGCGCTGCGGGAGGCGGGGAAGGCGTGGCAGAAGGGGAACTCGAAGAACCGCGGGGGCGAGATTGCGTTCTACTTCGCGGAAAGGGTGAGCTCGTCCCGTTTTGGATCGGAATGCGCTTGGGCTGACGCGCGGACTGCGGCTCGAAGGCGCGAGAGCTACAGGAACAGGTACAGAAGGAGCAGCTGCAGCGGGCCCGTGAGATGGTCATGGGTAGTCGGTGCGTTGTTCATCCCCGCTCTCGAGTGGTGGAGCAGGAAGGCTCATTGATTCACGTCCGCAGGTCTGTTAAAATCCATAGCGACCTCATTGACTTGCACGGTCTTATTGTGGTCGAGGCCGTCGCGATCTCCCGCGAGTACCTCTCCGAGTACTTCAATGGTATGCTACATCTTGTATCTCTGCGAGACAGGCCTTGACGTCTTCTCGCGTAGACAAGCCAGTCAAGATCATCACTGGCCGCGGCAATCACTCGTCGAACGGCGTGGGCGTCCTGGGCCCTGCCGTGAAGAACGCCCTAGTTTCCGACGGATGGATCGTGGACACGATCGACGGCGGCCTTGTCGTTCGCGGCCATAGCCGTTGATGTTGTGGGGAAAGCCTGCCTCATGTCGTAGTGCGTGACCCCGCAGCAGCCCCCCTCCGTCTCCCTTTACCTAAACGTACAGACTTCTTATTTCCTTGATGGAACCACGGCAGGCTCAATAGGTTTGTGATACCCCTACCTCTGTAGCGATACATTATTGTATTGGTGTATCGATTAGCTCCCTGCTTGTCATTCTAGGTCTGCGTAATGCTCTACATATATTATTCTGCGCCAGGATCACTAACCATGAGCTTCATCGCTGGTCATGGTGATCATTTACGCCTTTCTTTGGGGCCTATTCCTGACTATTCCACACGCTCTGAAACTTCCGATGCGGACGTTCGGTGCTCAAGCGGCAAGCCCACGCTTGTGCCGTGAAAGCGTTTCGGGACATAGGAAGGAACCTTAAAACTCACCGCAAGCCAATGTCATCCAGTGGTCGAATCGTCTTGCAGCAATGCAGCATTAGGCGTGTTCAATTCTTGTCGCTCGCTCATTTCCTCGCGCGCCTACCGGGCGTCTGCCTACCTGGATTCAAGGTCAGATCAAGCGCCTGTAGCACAGCCGCACAGGCAGCGGTGCAGCGAGATCGACGTTTTCGTCCTATGCTAGGTTTGTTATGCCCAGAAAATCTCTCCAGAAAGTGGATGGAGACGTCGGCAGATCGTTATAGGCTTGTTGACCGAGAATAATTGTACACAATGCGCCCAAATCGGAACCAGATTCGGCACGACACGCTTCTCTGGCCACCTGGGGTTGCCACTGTAAGCCTGATGGCAATTGGACTCAAAACCTTGCGGGACGACTCCGCGTCTCGAGTCATGGAGCTCACTATCTTTCAAATCGTTAAGCTCTCGCGTCGATCCTCAGTCCCAGCTCGCGACGCTCATGCGGTCGTGTTGCACCCGCTGCCTGCGCAC